AGCCAGAAGCTGCTGTGGCTGCTGCTTAATGTTTCCAGTTTGGTTTGTGTTTGTTGAAATGGATCACATAGCTTAATGATCTTTGTTTATCATAAGGGCCATATCATCTGCTAGTAAATTTGCTTAAACTGTGTTTACTGCAATAAAAAAAAGGTTGGGTGTTTGTCATATTTCTCGTCTCTGTCTGTACCTTGGAAATAGTGAATGATCCAGATGTTGTGAACTTGTGATATTTCCAATCTCTCCATCTCATGTGCACAAAATTGGTTTTGGTTATATTCTGATAATTTTGGAGGATTGCAACCATGAATTTGTGGAGTTTCTGGACATAACAGTGGTTCCATTCTGGAACCAGAAGATAACATATGTACTGATATATTTTATTTTGTAGTTTTTATTTTTCCATCAATAAAAAAATATGTAGCCAAATGGGATCTATGTATGGTGAAATGTGATTCTCAATATAAATAAAACAGGTTTTTTTATGAATATATATATTTGCACTTCAAGTATAAAGAGTAGATTTTTTTTTTTAATTTTTAATTTAATTTAATTTATTATTATTATCATCCATTGTCACTATTAAGTTAAGTATTTCAATATAAATAAAACAAGGTTCGTGTATTTCTTCTTATAATTTAACTAAAAATCTAAACAAAAAAATTAGATTAAATGTATAAATAAACTTGATTTGTCTGAAAAAATAAGTCAACATTCATTTATTGGAGGCAGTTAAATAATTTCTCTGCATGTCTTTGTCTCGACTCGTCCGCTCATTCGGCGACAGCCGGTGCGTCCCAAAGGGAAGAGCAGTCCATGCCAAGATTATCACATCCGGCTCTACCTCGGATGTATACACGAACAATCATTTGCTCTCCATGTACGTGAAATTCAGTCGAATTAGTGACGCGCGCAATCTGTTTGACAGAATGCCTAAACGAAATATCATTTCTCAGAGCGTATTGATCTCTGGTTATTCTCAAATGGGTATGGCGGAGGAAGCTCTGTGTTGCTTTAAGATGACGGTGGCTGATGGGTTTGAGCCGAATGATCATGTTTACGTGGGTGCTTTGTCTGCCTGTTCTAGTATGCTTGATGCTAGAGCTGGTAAGGAAATTCATGCGAAGATTTATAGGAGTTGTGTGGAGTTTAGTCCGCGAGTTAGTAACTGTTTGATCAATATGTATGGGAAATGTGGTCTTTTAGGTTCTGCTAGATTTGTGTTTGATGCCATTCTGGAACCTGATTCTGTTTCTTGGACTGCACTTCTTTCCTGTTGTTGTCAATCTGGAAAAAACTTGGAGGGTTTGAAGATTTTTTTGAAGTCATATGTGGAGGGAGTAGTGCTTAACGAGTTTTCTTGTGCGACTGTATTAGGGGCTTCTGCTGCTTTGGAGGACTTGAGGCTAGGGATGCAGTTCCATTCACTTGTGGTGAAGTGTGGGTTTGAGCCTGACAAGTTTGTTGTTACTGGATTAGTAGACTTTTATGCAAAATGTGGAGATTTGGATTCAGCTTTTCGAGTATTTTCAGAGGCTGATCAATCATATTTGTCGGTGTGGACTGCTTTAATAGGAGGCTATGCTCAACAAGGGAAAGGCAAGAAGCTATTAATGTCTTTTGCCTGTTGCACGTGTCAGGCCTCAACCTAATGAAAGAACGTTCTCAGCTGTACTTGCAGCTTTGGCAATGTAATGTTGCTGAAATTGGGATACAACTTTCACTCACGTATCATTAAATGGGGAAACAGTTCATTTATATTTTG